TGGGGAGTTGTCTTCTGGGGCTGGATCTTGTGGTAACTCCAGTCTTGCCTGCACTCCTGAGGTCATCTCTTCCTCATAACAGCTACAAAAAGGCTTGTGGATAAACTGAGACTGAGATTGTTCTACCCTGTGCTGTCTTCTCAGCTGAACTCCAAGTGTGTCGGGGAAGGACATGCAGCAGTCAGTGAGGGAGGATGAGGAGGGTTATTGTCATTGTAATAACTGCTTTTGCAACAAAGGATCCACTGGAAGCAAGAAATCCCCACTGTGTGCTCAGTAATTTCAGAGATGCATCATTTCTGTTACAGGGGCATTTGCACAGGTATCTGTTCTCACAGCAGCACCTCGCATGGGCTGCAGAGAGCTCAGCTCACTTGGCAAGGGGAAGGACTGTAGACTTTGCTGAGATTACATCTTTCACGTTAAAGCACAAAGATGTATCTCCAAGACAGAGCCTGACTTGCAGTGGACAGGTGCTGCCTTCTATAAATGGTCTCTGTGCATTGTGGTTAGAATTGGTTGTGCAAATTGCAGTGGAAACTGCTGGAACCAGATGTCATGTCTGAAAAGGAGTGAATCCCTTAACGTCCTGAAGAGACTGTCAGCTGCTGCTGCTGCTGTTCCTTGGCACCATGTGATCCTCCTGTCTCTTTGTGACTTAGGTGGTTGCAACTGCATCAGGATGTATTTTGCCTTGTTTCATCCTAAGATTTTTCTAGCACCATGAAGACAGTGATGTTGCCTGACTGACAGGATAGAAGAGGTTTTTTCAAAGAGGGTAACTGAATTGTGTCTGGGAGTTGTTAGGAGTAACTGTTAGGGATCTTTGCTCTGCTGATGGACAGAATATCTCAACCAAGAAAGGGATGCTCTTTGCCAAATATCTTTTTTTAATGATTGCACAAGTTCTCTTTTGGTTGCTTATTATTTGGTTGGAGGATGCACTGGTGGTACACATGTAGAAAGAAAAATCTGATAGTTTGATATTTCAGATTGCTTAAACTCATCTAGCTTAACATTAAATAAAGAAAAGTTTGTCTGTGCAGTCTTGCTCACCACCCAAACCTTGAAAATTAATTAGTTATGCTATTCCTTAACTTCTGCAAGAGTTAAAAGCTCTCAGTCAGATTAGTGAAATTGTAATGTCATTGTGAAAAGTTCCATGTAAACTTATGAAGAGACTGTTAAACATGAAAGGAGCAGTGCTGTGGACAAAAAAGTGATTATGCAGGATTAGCCTGCTAACCCAAAGCGACTGTAATTGGTGAAAGTAATTCTGACTTCTCAGCACCCCTAACATGCAGCTCCTCCACTGTCAGGGTGCAGCTCTTGTAGAACCAGGAACAAGTGAAGACAGCTAGCTAGGTAGCCAAATTGTCAAAAGCTTCCCAACATCAGAAAGGTTTCTGGATTGAGAGATCTCTCAGTAAGCTCAGGACTGGGTATCATGTTATGAGAGAACACCAGAGAGGAAGGTTTGCTTGGAGAAATGAGTGTTTAGATGGAAGGGTTAAGAAGTACCTTTTGCTGTTGGATTTCTTTCTGTGATTTATGACTTTTTCACCTTTCTGGTTCATATGTGGACTACATGGTCAGGGGTTTCTGATCAGAATTATTCTGTCAGTCTTGGTGATTGACAGTCAGGTCATTTGATCCAGTGTGTACTACAGGGACTTCGCCCATCAGAACGGCATTCACAGCATAAATGTACTGTGACAATTAGTATAAGCCTATAGTGACTTAATCTTCCCAAGAAAGGGTTTTTATGTTAGCATAACTAAGAAAACTTCTGCAATTATCCTCTTGCAATCTAACAGCCACCTCTCCAGTTGGCATGGAAGCTCTCTGAGATGTCACACCACCACCACTCTGAGAATGGTTAGTCCCTCTGGAAAGCAGCATAACTGATAATTTTCTGGTTCAGCACTTGATCAAAGTTATCTAGAGAATCTTTGCTCCATTTCATCTTCATCTGCCAGAAAAGGCAATTTGAAATATCAGACAGGTAGTCTCCACAGATACAATGCCAGGACTCTACTCAGCCAAAAACTGGGAAGTCAAAAGGGTTTTTGTGTCTTACCTGTCATGAAGTTCAGGCAAAGACACTGTTTCAAGAGACCATTTCAGCAATGTTGTGGATTTCCTCCCTCCCCCTCTCTTCTCTTACTCTTGAAAGGAAAGATTATTGGTATTAAAAATTACTTACGTGGCCTGTTCTGAAAATTGAAGCAGAAAGGGAAGTCACCAAGCTCAAACACTGTACACCAGCATCAGCAGGTGTCCCTTCAAAAGTGGGATTTTACTGAGTTTGTGCCAAATGGAGCTTTGTCACTTCTGCTGAGGCATCAAGACTCCCAACACAGGCTGGAGTGCTCTACGTGCTGGTGTTCATGTGCCCGACACAATCTCAGTGCATGGGACCTGTCTGGTCCCCCCACCTCTCCCTCCCATGTCCCTCTGGTCTGTGGCAGGTGCTTGGCAGCAATATCTGTCAAAGCAGACTCCATGTTAGCAAGCGATGGGTCATGTCACCTGGTGGGTTCCCCAAATGGGTCAGCTTGGGAGGCAATCTCTTTGCCCAGTGCCAAGTCTTTCAAATATCATTAGGCTGCCAGCATTTCTTAGGTTCTTCTGAGTCGTGGTTCACTAATGGCGTGTTTAGAAACCTACCTTCTTCCACATGGGTTCATTTTCCTGTCTTGCACACTTAGCGGCCTGTTCAGGAGTTTCTCACTTAGAGATCACTGGTAGAGCAATATCAATTTAGCAGTTGTTTTGGCCCAAAGGCCAAAAACTCCTGAGCAGGCTGTTAAGTTTCTACGGACACAAAACCCATGCCCAGAAGGGTAGGTTCTAAATGTGACACAGCTGTCTTCCTTTTGGTGAGTTTTTGCACACCATTTCTCCTACAATCAGTGAAGAACATGCAACTACAAAACATTTTTTTGAGAAGATTTTTGGCCACCTCGTCTCAGGCTGGAAGTGCTCCCAGGGTGAGTTAAAAAGCTTTGCAGGACCCTTCTGGTACCAAAGCTGTAACTCCAAAGCCTGGAGTAACCACAGTCTCAGTGCCTGTTGCTGCATGTGGACTCCCTGCAGGTGAGGAGAAGCAGGCTCTCTTCCACTCCTGCTCTGCTGGAGAATTGTACTCGCTCAGCAGTGGGGCAGTCATAGAATCGTAGAATCATAGAATTGTTTAGGTTGGAAAAGACCTTTAAGATCATCCAGTCCAACCATTAACCTACACTACCAAGTCCACACTAAACCAATCAAGGGTAGACTAGACTAAACCATGTCCCCAGATGCCACATCTACCCGTTTTTTGAACACTTCCAGGGATGGTGACTCCACCACCTCTCTGGGCAGCCCGTTCCAATGCTTGACTACTCTTTCCGTGAAGAAATTTTTCCTAATATCCAACCTAAACCTCCCCTGGCGCAGCTTAAGCCCATTTCCTCTTGTCTTATCGCTAACTACATGGGAGAAGAGACCAACACGCACCTCACTACAACCTCCTTTCAGGTAGTTGTAGAGAGCTATAAGGTCTCCCCTCAGCCTCCTCTTCTCCAGACTAAACAACCCCAGTTCCCTCAGCCGCTCCTCATAAGGCCTGTGCTCCAGACCCTTCACCAGCTTTGTTGCCCTTCTCTGAACATGCTCCAGCACCTCAATGTCTTTCTTGTATTGAGGGGCCCAAAACTGGACACAGTATTCCAGGTGAGGCCTCACCTGCGCCGAGTACAGGGGGAGTCAGGTCCCTGTGGACCAGTCCTAGTAATCACTGTGAAAGAAACTTTTGCTAGGTCAGGGTTGCTGCAGCTTGACCACAGGACATCTAAGAAACATGCCTGGGCAGGTGCTTCTGCCTACACACTGTAAATCTGGCAGCATCCCATTGCTACTGGAGCAACTCATGCTTTTTTCTCTTTCAGCTTTTGCTACCTTGGTTCCTTATGCTTAGCTTTGCACCACATTTGTCACTTTGTCCCCATTAGGTAATGCCTGGCTGACATTCTCCTGGCCACCTGACCTTCCAGAAGACTGGCATTTGAGCTGGGAGATGTAGAGCACCCAATGCTTACAACTCCTTCTGCATTAGATATGTGACATTATGTTTCTGAAGTGCCAACCCAGCCAGGTTCACCCTGGTTTGTCTGGCTAGAAAGAAACTTTCTTTCATTCATGGAAGATGAACATGTAAAATGGGCCCTTTTCAGCTCCCTGCAGTGATTTCCAAAATCTCTTGTCATTTCTCATTTCTTGCTTTCAAGTTCATGCAATAGTGATGGAAGCTGTGACATAGGTGGGGAATGGAGATTCCCCGATGTTCGTAAGGAGAACACCTGCTAGCCAGTGCTGTGCATGCAGTAGGAGAGAAAGAGGGTTTACTTTGTGATGCTGGCTGGGGTGGCTTCCCTAGGCGTTGGTGCTGACAGGGCAGCTGCAGTCCCAGCCTGCAACTTGCAGAGATAACCCTGCCTCTGAGCTGTGCTTCCACTTCTCTCCTGTTTGATTTTGGTGCAGACATAAGTGTTCAGATCTCTCAGCCTCCCTTCAGGGTGCTGCTAAAACAGGGGGATAGTGCCCTGGTGGGCCTTTTAGCAGGGTAGGGAGGGAGATGTGCCGCAGCCACAGTCCTGAAGTCCTTCTGGAGGATGCCACTGGGTGGTGTGGATGCTGCAGGAGGGGAGTCAGACTCCTGTGGTTCTGTTGTGGAGCCACAGCAGAGCAGAATGGGTACATGGACCCTGATGAATAGGATACAAGTGCCCCCAGAGCTGGTGCTGACTAGACACCCCTGCATGGTAGAGACCCCAGGGTGGGTCACCAGAAGCCTTCTACCATGAGTGCTGGAGGCCTGTCCTGATGTTGAGGAATTGCCCTGGCGTGACTGGGGAGAGTTTTATGGGCAGAGGATCACAGCCTTGGCCCACAACAGAGGAGAAATTATGATATCATTAACCAGCACCTCTACATTTCTCTCTGCCTTGCTATTCCAGAGCGATTACTCAAGTGACACCGAAAGCGAAGACAATTTCCTGATGATGCCACCAAGAGATCATCTTGGCCTCACTGTGTTCTCCATGCTCTGCTGCTTCTGGCCATTGGGAATTGCTGCCTTTTACCTGTCTCATGAGGTAATGTTAAAATGTCTCCTGCTAATTCAGAGTTTTGCATCCATGGAGTAGCCATCACCCCACACCAGCAAGGAAAGTTCACCAAGACCTAAATATGGGCAAGACATTCTCCAGGGTACTGGGAGATGGTTAAACAGGGTAGTATGTTCCCCACCTTGATATGTCTCTGTGATAATGGTGGTTGTCTTGTGAGGTGTTTTACTGAGGGAGCAGTCTACACAATATTTTAGGTTTTAGTTGGCAATGGTCAGGTTCCATGTCAGCTTATACAACACCCAGCTAGGGATTTTCTGTGAACATGACTTTTGAGTGGAAAACACCCTTCCTATCTCAAACACTTGGATTTCCCATTGGGAAAACTGATCTATTGGTTCCCAAGATGATCATCTGGAAAAGCAAACCAGGTAATATCCTTCCAGGAACAGAAAAATAATTCCTATTCTGCAGAAGTGAATTTGCTTTCCAGGAACCATTTCCTTTCTCCCTGAAAAATTGCTCAGTCTGTTCTTCTTGTCCAATTTTAATATGGAAATATTTTTACCAGAGAAGTGACAGTGTTCTGGTTTGTTTCCTTCATGAGACCGGCTTGCTGGTTTCCAGCCTGTGTCTAACAATCACCTCATGCCCCATCATTTGTTTCGACAAGTATGTCTTCATAAGTGCCTGCAGAGTAATTATTGAGTTTGCCAGCATGGCAGATAATGTAACATGACAGAAAAGGAGTCACATTGGAAGTCTCATCAGTGACTGCAAGGAAATGTTCACTTATATTTCTATCTGCTGGTGGTAGCAATGCCTATTGCAAACTACAGTCTGTACTCCACCACCAAAATCATTCACCCTCTCACCTGTCTTTCTAATCTGCCTGCTCTTAACATCTACCAGTGCTGGGTATTTGTGAAGCCAGAGCAGACACTTCAGATCTGAAGAATCCTAGTCGTCAATATCAAAGAAAGAGATACAGTACTATTTTTTGCTTTAAATGAAGTGTCTGTCATTGAACTTGGAAGCCTCTGAGACAATTAAAGTTTGTCCAGTGGAAAATAACAAGTTTCCTTGTTTGAGTGCTATTGATTTGTCAAGTCTGGGTCAAGGGATTTGCCTGGTGATGATGACAGCAAAAAGTAAAGCATCGGGTGGGATCCGCACACGCTTTAGTATCCTGCCATTTGGTCCTTCGGGTGGAGCTATTCGTCAGCAGTTTCAATGGCCACATCTCTTCACACGCATGGACTAGGCAGGATTTTTCACCAATGCTGCAGTCAAAGAAGAGTTGAGAGTTTGTCACTATTAGCAGTGTGTTTGCTCTGTGCTGGGGAAAATAGTGCATTCATTAATTTCCTGCCATAGCATTCCTTCAGGAGGCCTGGGGATTGCTGGCTAGTTTTATCTAAGCAATGAAAACACAGCACAATCCAATAAATGCAAAATAAACAACACAATTAAGTACTAAAAAGCAGTAAGGCTGAGAAGTTAAACGTGCTGAGAGCCAGTGTATGAAGGACAGGGCATCCACAATAGCTGTGAGCTGATCCCAGGGGCCAGCATGAATCCATAAGACCCTACTTCCTTGATAGGAGCATAAGGAAGGTGGAAACGTTAACACGAAGGCAGCAAAAGATGATAATACTGCGCTGAAGGATTTAGGCCCTAGAAAATGGAAACTTGGGTGTTGGTTTGTTTTAGCATAACGATGGGGAAATGCTGAATGTGACTGTCTAAAACTAGGACCTGTCAGCAAGAAAGGTCAGGCAGGTGCTTTGCTTTTATTAGGTTGAGAGACAGTAAATTAATCTTTGTTAATTGACCCCTTGGATTCACCAAGGCAAGCTGTGGCTAAATGCAGCCAGAGGAAGGACTGTGTTTCTGAGGAATTTTGACTTCTGCTTTTTGCTTTTGTATTGGAAATAGAAATTTTCTTTTCTCTCCCCACTAAGAAATGGTAATAATAACAATGTCACCCCTAGATGCTCCTTTCCTCCCATCTCTCCTCTTAGCTCTCTGCAACAGCTGAATCAGCTGAGAACTTCTTTCCCAAATCTCTCACAGAAAGATATTCAAGTCCCTGCTTGCCCCAGTCCAGCACAGGCACATCAGTCTGTCCACTCCCCAAGTTCCCAGGCAGGTACCTTCGCTGCCTGCCTTCCCCTCCAGCAGGTCCATCACAGCCCTGAGAAACCACCAGCCTTCACTGAAACCGGCACTTCTGCAAAACCCCACGTCCAACAAATTGGCATTTTTCAGTGGAAAAAATAAGCTCACATTAAGGCCAAAACCTTCTATGGCTGAGAACTGGCTAAAATAGCTGGTGTAAACCACCAAAATCCTGCACCTAGCTAAGCTGATACCGACAGTGGTATCGACTCATACTTTGGAGCATGAACCATTCAGAATGATGTTTTATATGTGAGGTAGTAAAACATTACATCCTAATGTAATTAGGATGTGATTTCTCTTTATATAGGTCTTTTAACTTAAACTCCTGAATAACATTTGAGATCTCTTGTTAATATAAAAGGGTAGCCTAACATTCCCTGTCCTTTATCAAAAGTCAGAACTATAACTAAATATCAAAACTTGGCACTTGCATTCAAACCTCCTTTTTTGCAGTTGCTTGAGCTCTTGAAAATTTCATGTTTTCAAAAGTCTCCTGGGTAGTTCTACTAAAAAGGCCCAGTCTGGGATAAAATTGTAACGTGTAGGAACTTCAAAGGAGGTGGATGGATTCTTTATGCCAGAATTTAACATTTGTGGTGAACTTTTTATAAAAACCTGGTCTCCTTTAGGTGTGCAGTGCATTTACAGATGAAGGCCTGATTTGCAGAAGATGCATTTGCAGTGCAGCTCAGTCCAAAGGGACAGGTGGTCTCAGCTTATTCCTGCAGCACCTGGCAGTACATTTATGCTGTATATGTCTATGTCATGGGGCAAAAGAATTATACAAAGATCAATGTTTTAAGGGTTCAGAGATGCTCTTTACAAATAGAAAGATTATTTTTCCCTGTGCTCCATAAAAGCAATACACTTCCTTGCAGGGATTATTTCTGCTCTGTGTGGGACTTAGTTTTTCCACCAAAGCTCTTGCCAACGTGCTGCTGACTTAGGGCTTCTTGGAAGCCATCTGTATCGAACAATGCAGCTGTGCAGGGTCTGCCTGCATGGTGGAAACGAAGATGTACATCAGGTTTAGCTGAGCCAGCAGGGAGGAGCAGTGGATTCAGAAATACACTCTATGAAAGCAAAAGCAGTTCCTTTCCATTGGGATATCTGATTTTCGCAAGTAGGGCATCGCCTGGTGATCTTCCTATCCCAAGCAACGCTGAGAGTTGCTGCTTTTCATCTTCCTTCAGTAAAACAGAGAGCCTGCAGCCACCACTATGTTGTATACTTGCTCATTTACTTGCTTCTGTTTCGATATGTGTTTTCTTTCCCACAAGAGACTTAACACCCACTGCTTGTGGCTGCCCAGTCCTGCTCTCTCTCTCAGCTACCAGGAAGCTGGGAGGACTGGGCCGTTTTCTTCCCATGTATCCTGTCTTCCGTCATGCTTGCTTCTTCGGACCGTGAGATCGGGATGTGACTCCCATTGCCTCACAGGCACAAGGTGTCCTCCTTGGTCATGCTGGTGTCACGCTAAGTGGTGTCCATGTCCCCCTCTCACCTGAGCTGTCACAGCTAAGCTACACGGCCTTTGCACACATGAGACATTCAGGTGATCTCTCCAGAGGCCACTGCTTTAGGGTAGCCTCTCAGGAGGGATAACATCTCTGAGTACTCCGATTTTTAACAGTTGGCAGTGTTTATTGGCTAATTTCCCACTTTTCTACAAATGGGGCTTATGAGTTCTTATGCTTGCAATTTTTTGGATTAGCTGCTTTCCTAACACCTTATAGCTGAGTCTGAAGGGCTCAGTCAGAGGGGTTTTTGTGCAGTTTGCAGGGAAGCCTTTGCAGAGGATAATGTAGATGTTGTATGCCTTTCACCATAAAACTCTCCACCACAAAGTGTCTGATCAAAACAACCTCATTATGTTTATTTTTTCATAAATCTCCACCCTCTGGAGTCATGTAGGTACATCAGTTTTCATTTTTACAGAAGTTTTTAGCTTTGTAGATTGTAGGCAAGTCTGAAGCTTCACAAGTCAGAGAAAGAAGTTTAAAAAAAAATCTTTTTGTCTTGTCAAGTTTACCATTAAACCCGTCAGACCATTTATCAAGGCCTGTCAGGATTTCTGCTTGGTGAGGGTTAATAATCCTGCAAGGTCTTTTTGTCTAATTTCCTGCATTTATTTTTAGGAAAGAGAGCAATACCTTGGCACACATTTCTTTCCCTCCTGTAAGAAGAAATTCATTATCAGAGACCTAAGCCTGTGCTCATGTGAATAAGCTTCACTTTGTACCTGCTCTCTTGAGGGATGCAGGTGCTCATGTGGAGCCCTTCACCCCCGGTAAGTCCCCACCAAATGTGTCCAAGAGGCATCAGCCGGGCCAGACAGAAACAAGAGTATGTACAACACCTCTATCCAGCTTCCATGCAACCTCCATGGAGCTGTGTCAGGCTGGCATAGACATACACCTGAAGAATCCCACTGGACACTTCTAGGTATGCTTAGGTGCTCAAGTAGCCTCCAAACCTGCTTTCCTCCCTGGCAGTACGTGAGACCTGCCAGGCAGCAGACTGCAATCCAAGCACACGAGAGCAATTGCTTCCCACCTGCTGTGCTTACTCCATGCCATAATTACCTCCCTCATACAGTGATCAAGGGATGCACGGCTCTGTAATTATTTCCCCAGCCTATGGATTGGTTGAGTGACCACAGCTCCAAATATCATTGCTCGGATTGTCTTTAAAGAAAAGTAGAAACTGCGCACTGGGTAAAAGGTTTTTCTCTGGTTTTTATACTGACCTGAGGCATACGTGATCAGGCAAAGGAGTAGCTTGTCTTTCTTCAGGATAACTTCTGAACCATTTGGTTGTTTTCTATCCAGTTTTCAGAGATA